CTCTGACCTACCCCTCAACTTGCCCAGCTCAACTCAAAACAGCTTCTCCACTAGCTGAGCTGGAAAGGATGGCACAGGGTCAGGTGGGTGGGCTGGGGCAGACAGTGGACCCAAGCAGGATTCCTCTTCTCTGTCTCTGGCGGCTGCCATGTTCTAGGCAGAGGGTGTAGAGCTGGGTTCAGCATGTCCCTCGCCCTCACTCTCCTCCGTGGCAGGCCCCCAACCCTGAAAACACGGGCGTGGGGGTGGATGACAGGGCCCTTGCTGCCCACTGGTCCTTGAACGTCTCTCCTAGTCCCATGCAAGGTTCGAGTTACCCCATTCCCCACCCTCGTGCCACAGCGTGACTCCCCACAGCAGAGCCACGCTTGTGCCGGGCTGGCCTCAGACCCCAGCACTGGCTAGGTTCCAAGGTCTCAGGTAGGCATGTGCCAATCACAGAACAGCCCCTACCACCACCATGGCCTGCAAGGCCCCCAGAATCTGCCTCAGCCTTCAGCACCCAGCATGGGGTCAGGGGGTCCAAGAGGTCCCACACAGCCACCAGTCCCACACAAGTGGCACACTGGCCCAGGGCTGAAGACCAGAGAAGGCTGCCTGGAAAGAGACCCAGCCCTGCACAGGGTCAGGTGGCCAGAGTCATTCTGGCTGAGGGAACAGAAGCCCCTGGGTGCTGTGTTGACACAGGTGGCCTCCTGAAAGTCGAGGGTCAGAGTTTTTCCTCTTCCTCTTGCTGAAGGCAGCCTCCGCCCAGGTGATATCCCTGCACCTGGACAGGAAGGGTCCAAAGCTAGGGTGCAGAGCTGCCAGGCTGCACACAGGGTGGGGGTGGAGCTGTGCCTGTGCCTCAAGGGGTCCTGTGCCAGGACTCAGCTGGTACCAGAATGGGGAAATGCTGTTTTCAGAAGCCCAGAGTCCTCAGAAGGCTGAGGAAAAGGGGATGTGGGCACCAAGGCTGGCCCAGCCCCCACCTCCACATTGATTCCAGTCCAAGTTAAGCACCCAGCCCACGGGACCCCCAGGCAGCTCAGGCAAGGCTACCAGCCTCCTAGGAAGAGGTAGAGGTGGGCCAGTCTCAGAGCTCTGAGTGTGTGTGTGTGTGTGTGTGTGTGTGTGTGTGTGTGTGTGTGACAACAAGGACAGGAAACGACCCTCCCCAGTTCTAGATTTGGACCAGCTTGGGCCCTGCACAGGAACACTGTCACTGAGGGGTAGACAGACCTGTAGAGATCCCTAAAGCAGCCTGCTCCACCATGCCTGGCTTTCTGGATTCTGTCTGGGGCCAGAATCCAGTCACTGTCACACAAAGCAAAGTAACGAATATCCCACAGGAAGGGCACAGGGGCCCAACCCAGCCCTGCAAATGCTAGGCAGGGAGAACAGGGAAGGGCTGGGAGGGCTGGGTGCTGCACCAAGGCTGAGGGGAGCCCAGGGCAGGCAAACAGGCAAGGAGGATGGGGTGGGAAGCAGCAGCCTGTGGCAGGGGAAGAGGAACCCAGGAGGGGAAGAGAACAGAGGAACCAACCACACTTGATCTGGAAAGATGAGAAAAGCTCAAAGGTTTGCTGCCCCGGCCCTCCAGAACCCAGTGCCCCCACTCAATTAGGAGCACAGACTTACCCTTCTCAGTCTATAATTAGTCAGAGACCCAGCCCTGCCCCACCCTCAGCCCCACCCTTAACATAAATAGCCACTGCCCCTGGGGAGGGACTGCCTGCCCCCTCCCCTATCCAGTCACCTACAAACCCAAATCCACTTCCCTGGAAGGGGAATCCAGGCTGGGGTGGGTGGCCTCAGCCCTTCCACAGGCTGCCCACAGGCCTCCCGGGATCAGCCCACCTCCCTCTCCCTGGCCCTCACCAAGACAGACTCAGGGCACAAGAAGCCCAGAAGGAAGAAAAGCTTAAGCCCTGCACCCTCAAGGACAAGGCAGGAAGCCTGATGAGGAAGGAGGAACTGGGGAGCGACATAAGTGAGCACTGCCCACTGGCATGAGGGCAGCCCTCCGAGTTCTCGCCCAGCCTAGGAGGGTGCCAGATGCCCCTTCCACCAGTGCCCCCTGCCTCTGCCCAGTGTTGCAGAGGGACCAATAGTGCCAGCCCCCAAGATGTGGGTACTAGGCAGGGGACAAGACGTGGTGATGTTCCCAGAATGGGTTAAGGGGGTGCCATATGGACCCCTCCCCGGGCTGACAGCCTACTCGAATGCCTTCCAATCCAATCTCTTCCACTCCACTGGCCTGGGCTGAGGCCAAGCCCCTGAGCTCCCTGCACTTGGTCTCAGCTGAGGCTCTGTCCCCGAGGCGCAGTATCCACACTGGCAGCTGGGCACATGGCCTCAGAGGGAGCTGGGCAGCCACCAAACCCCAGCAGCACTCCAGATGGCACCTCCCAGGGACTTTCTCTGGCTTCAATCTCCCCACTGGGGTTAAGGTTCGCTTGGGCAAGTCCTGGGCTGTCCCTCAGTGGGTGGCTGGTCAGGGAGCCATCAGAGAGCAAGAGGAGGGCCTGAAGTTCAACTCCAAAGACACCAGAGACTGGGCGAGTGACCTGCCCCACATGGTGTCCCTGATCCTGGATCCAAGGGTGACCACAAGGGGTCTCCGGGCCGGTCCAGAGGGCCTCGTGCCCCCATGGCCTCTCTCAGAGACTCCAGGGCCAGGGATGGCCTACCGGGGAGCCTTGGGGCCCTCCCCAACCCAACAGTGACACATCTCCCGGCCCCTCTGCTGCCAACCGGTCTGAGCAGCAGGAGAGGTGTGGAGCTGCCTGGACTTGTCTGTCCCTCCCTTCTGGGGCTCTCAACCCACGGCCCGGAAGTGGATCCCTCTCCCACGGCTTCGGCCACCCCTCTCCTCTCGGGTGGCTGGACATGGCTGGATAATCCAAAGTAATTCCTTCTTGGCAGGCAGCCCGCAGGGGAGGGGGGGCTTGCATTCCAAACCCTTGTTTTTCTCAGTAACTTCTCTGCTTCTGGGGAAGGAACCCCTGGCCAGATCTCAGGCCTCCTTCACGGTGGTTTGACAAGGGTGGGGGTCTTGGACCTGCCCAGCCCACTGCTTGCTCTCCGTCTTCTCTAGCAATTTCTGTGCAACACACTAGTAGCTGGCTCATCACAGCAAACACTCCTACGCGGACCCTACCTTTCTAGGGGCTGTGCCTCAGACCAGGACCAAGGCAGCATCTGGGCATGGGGGCTGGCTGAGCACCCCAGCGCTGGGCAGCCCTGATGCCCGCTCACGGTGTGTGTGTGTGGGAGGAAGCTTAGTTTTAAAGCCCTCAGCATGGAGGCTGAAGTTAGACATTAACAGGGGCTCCCAGGGCAGGCGTGGGCCCAAGGAGCCCAGAAGTTTCCCGGCTTTGGGGCCTGGCTTCACCCTCAGCCTTGACCTCCACACCACCGTGGTGACCACAGACAGACCCCGTCCTTCCCTTTCTAGGAGGCTGGGAAGAAGAGTTCAGTGACGTGGCAGAGAGCTCCAGGGCTCTTGAGCTCAGAGACCCCTCAACGGGACACAGGACCCCTCAAATCGGTCCAAAAGCTTGACCACAGTAGTGGCTAAGGGCCTCATTGTGAGGGCTCAGCAAAGCCTAGGGAGGAGAAGGACCAGCAGGTGGGCAGCACGATCGCCCCAAGGCTAAGACTCACCAGGTCCCAGGCACCCACAAATACACGCGGAGTCTCGACTACACCTGCGGGAGATGGGCTGTCTACCGGCGAGGAGCAGATCCTCTGCGCCCCGGTTCCCCACACCCGGTACTGGGACTGCGCGGCCGGCGAGGCCCCAGGAAAGCCCCGGCGCCAGCGGCTGCGCGCTGGCCCAGCACGGACGACGCCCCCGCGGGAGGGCGGCTGGGAGCCCCGAGACCAGGCAGAGCCCCGCCTGCACCCGGCCCCCAGGGTCCCTGACCTCCAGTCCCCCAGGCCTCGCTCTCCACCCAGACGTGCGGACGCAGTAACCTCGTCGCAGCCCGGGCCTCGCGCCGCTCCCAAGGCCCCGGTCCCGCGGTACCTGCACGTCCGCCGCCAAGGCTCGATGGCGCCCGGGCCGCGCTCGGCGCTGCGCTCCGGGCCGCGCGGCTGCCATGGAGACAGGCCTTTGTGTGGCCGAGGAGGGGCCGGAGCGCGGGAGCCGCCGGCCCCGCCCCCGCCGGGAGGAGGGAAGCGGGGAGCTGGGGGGGGGATGGGCGGGGGGAGGCGGAGGGCGGGGCCGGCTCTGCCGCTCCCCGCTCCCCAGCGCCCAGCAGCCACTGGCGCTCGCTGCGACCTCGGGACTTTGCGCCTGGCAGCGACCTTCCGGCCTCACCTCTGTCCCCAGCCCCCGGGGTCTGGGCACCACCCGAAAGGGAGCCCCCCAGCACTAGGATCTCTGAGGTGGGGGTACCGAGGCCTCACCGCTCTTCCGGGAGCCCCCAGGGAAGGGGACGCTTGGTAGTGCCCTCAGTATGCATCCTCACTCTCTGTGTGTCCCGTCTCGTCCCCCCCCCCCCACCGTGCTGCGCCCTTGGGGACCTCAGCGCCTAGAGTTCAGGGGTTCAGGATCTTGCCTGCGCATCACGCCCATGGCCCCGGAATTGAAAAACGTGGACATACCCCTGTGCTGCTCTGGGCCCCTCCGAAGCAGGACAGGGTGGGAGTCCTGGGACAGCCTCTGGGCCTCACCCTCCACCTGGAGCCTCTCCCAGGCCGGCCCTTTCTCCGTGACCCAGACCTCTGCTTCTGGGCGCTGCCCCAGTGCTTAAGCCTCCCGCAGGCCTCTGAAGGCCACTGAAGCCGTCACCAGGACCCCAGCGGCCTGCCTCCCACCCCAAGCAGCTAGGCTTGTTCCAGCCCCTCCTTCCCACCGTCACGTTAGCCCAGGCTACAGCTCTGCCAGCCCCACCACAGAGGACCCCAAATTATCAGTCTGACAGGGCTGCCAGCTGTTTATCAAAAAAAGTTAAAAAACAAGCATTGTGTCGCAAAAGGACATTTTAATACTAAAGATGTGGGGAGGCCATGATGTCGCTCTGAGGGCACCCTGAAATAGACTGGCGTAGTTGTCTCTCCCTGCCCATACTGGGGCAGCCCTGCCACCCACTGGCCTCAGTGACCACAGCAGCCCCTCGCTCTTGTCGACCACTAGTTTCTACCCAGGCAGGAGCCGTGGGAGCCTCTATGAGGGTCTTGCCTCTTTGGAGTCATCTGGCCCTTCCTTCCCCTCCCCCACAGTGTGCGCTTGGCCTAGGGGGGGGGGCACGGCACCAAGACCCTGTCTGAAACAGGCTGAGCTACCTTCCAGGCGACCTGATCCAGGGGCCCAGGAGGGGCCCAGGCTCAGCTCTCCCAGTGGCCATGGCATTCCCACTCCTATGTGCCTCACCCTGGACTGTGTCCTGGGTGGGTCCCAAGGTGTCCTCCTGACCTCCTTCCTGCTGTGGTCTCAAGGAGCACTGGCTGCCAGGATCTAGGGGCTCAGGGGCTCTGGTTGGATGTCCCTGGGGTGATGGTGGCTGAGGCCTCTGGCCAAGCGTGGAGGCCCTCAGGTATGGAAAGCACCTGCCACAGGGACACTGGGGGTATGTCCCTCAAGGTGAGGTCGCAATCCTGATCCTGGATTTGGGGTCGGGGGCTCAGGGCTAGCACTGCTATCTCAGGAAGGGCACACCAATCCATGGTTCTGACGGGGGCCCTGACAGCAGGGCCTCCGTTATCGCCATGCCTGTCTTGTCACCCAGGAAGGTGCCGGCATTCCTACAACATTGCCACACTGAGGCCAGGTCCTCGATGGGGAGGCTGGTGCCTCTATAACTGGCGCTGCCCTGGGTGCTGTGCCACCCTGCCTCACTCTGGGTCTCCACAACCCCCACCTCTACTCTGCTGTGTAATGGCAGTCACATCCAGGGACCAGCACTGGACTGACATGTCCACCTCCCTCCCCTCTCTGCCACCATGCATTCTGTATTGGCACCATGGGTTCTGTGCCAGGCTGTCCTGGGCCATGGTCAGGGTGGATGAGTCAACATGCACCAAGTTCTGAGAATGTGCTGACGCTATGAACAGGGGTCTGCCCCTGTTGTCCAATCTACTCCTGCCTCACTAATGTACAGTTAGCCAAAGTTCCTCCCCTGGTGCCCCCTTCAGGCATCACAGGCCAGAGCTGGCTAACACAGCCCAGCAGCAGCTTCCTAGGCATCTATACAACCTGGTCTCTCAGACAAAGAGCCCAAGGGTCTGCATGGTCAGGAGACCTACCCAGCAATACTCATCTGCGGTTCAGCTGCAGCTCTGGTCTACCCCTCAGTGCACAACTCCCACAGCCCCACCAGTATGACCATCTGTGGCCACAGCACTACCAGAGGCGACGGCACTACCTTGCTGGGCCCAGGCTTAAGTGTAGGACCCAGAGGTGGCACTTCAGGCCCCTGCCAAGGTCATTTGCACCAGGATTGTGGAGCTGGGCAGCAGAGTCAGGCCAATCCAGAACCCTCAGGTCCTAAGGGTGGGAATGGGATGTGTGGAGTTAGTTCCAGGAGAGAGGCCGGGACCATGCTTGGATCCCAAGGGCCAGGCTGAGCCTGTTGTCCCAGCAGGGCCTCCACACCACTCCTATTCTCTCCTGAACAGTCAAGGGCAGGCAGGGGATTCAGAGTGGCCTCTCCCTCTACAATGGCTGACATGGGCAAAGTGTCCCTCCTGTCTCCACAGGGCAGGATGGGCAGGTTGCAAGTGGCCCTGCCAGCTGCCTCCCTCTGTTCTGCAGGCCTGCTGGGCTGAAGGGGTGTGGGCAGATGGGCAACAGGAGGGTGGGCAGTAGATGTGCCCAAATCAGCCAGGGCTCTTGTCCTTCCAGCGCCACTGCTCACCCCCTAAAGACATGGAGGGCAGGTGGGGGTGGAGAGGGGAGCTCTGCTAGCACATAATCCCCCACAGTCAGGGACCAGGCCGTGCTTCCAAATGTCGCATTTACTGCTGGGACAAAGGCAGCACAAGGAGGGGGATGCAGCCCGGGCAGGGGGCCAAGCTGGGAGCAGGCACTGGGCGGAGGGCCACACAGGGGGAGGCTTGGCAGGCCAGGCCTGGGGACGGCACACCTTGGCCCATCCTAGGGAGGGCACAGGACAGCCTGCAGGTCCTTGGGCAGGGAGCCGATGACCATCTCAATGTACAGCTGCGCCCGATGCAGTGTCGCCTCCTTCACAGGGAGCTGGTGGCCCTGTGCCCGCACCTGCAAAGGCAGTGGCAGTCAGAAGCAGGACATCTCCTGCCAGGAGGTAGCACCTGGGCCGGGCAGAGCAGGGAAGCTGCTCACCAGCTTCTCCCGGAGTTTCAGCACCAGGTCCACCACCTCCACCTCTGACTTGTCCTTCATCCAGGTCTCAATATTCTGCAGGGACAGTGCAGGTCCTCTGTCACAGAAGCCCCTCCCACCCTGCCCCAGGCCCCCAGACCCCTAAGCCCCAGCCTCCCGCCTGGCCCTGGCCTCTCTCACCGCCTCACAGATAGCTTCCAGGTGCAGGGCTTCCAGCTTCTGAGCCATCTCTCTGTGTCGCTGGCGATACCAGCCATCAAAGTGTGGTGACTTGAAAAACCTCCTGTGGGTGGCAAGTGGTGGCAGCTGAGGGGCTGGCCCAGTGTGCCAAAGGAGGCCTGGGCAGCCTGCGCCATGTACCCACCTATAGAGGCCCAGCCAGTCGCCCTTGAGGACGCAGGTGAGCTGAGGCCCTGCATGCTCTAGGCTGTGCAGGAAGTCATCTTGGTGGAAGGGACGGATCTGGGGAGGAGTCTGAGGTAGCGGTAGCGGCCGGTGAGCAGGTGCAGGGGAACACAGCCCACAGCCCCGCACCCAGGTCCAGCCTATTCAGGGGTTTGTCAGACTCCCTCCCTGTGGTTCCCCAGTTCTCAGCCCCGGGAGGAACACAGTGGACACCTGCACCAGATCTTCCCTTCTCTGGGGTGGGAACACCCAGACCCCCACCTTCCAGGGCGTGATGCTCTTCTGCAGCGGCATGAGGCTGGCCATGTAGTGTTCCTGGGGGTGGGAGGAGAGTGAGCCTGGGGCCTTGGTCCCCCACTGCTGTCCCCTCCTGCCTGGGCCTCACCAAGGGGATGATGAAGCTCTGCGTGAGCTCCAGGAGGTGCCGCTTCAGCAGAGCACTCTGCACATCCCATGGCCGCTGCTTCTGCACACCCTGCCAGAGGGAGGCAGGGAGCTGAGCCCAGAGTAGCCCAGGCCCCCGGTGGCTTCACCTCACGCAAGCCCCTGCATCCTGCCCTCAGTCCACAGTTCCTACCTTGAGCAGTCGTTTGAGTAGTGCCTTGTCCCGGTGGAGGTGGGCTGTGTAGGCGGTATAGAGGCCTGGCAGGAGGGTAAGGCAGTGGCTGTCTTTCTGTCCTTCCGAGCCTCCCTCCCTTCCACTCTGCTGCAGCCCCAAAGGGTATCTGGCAAGGCATCTGATCTTGCTGGGCAGCACCTATGCATCTCAGCCCACCCTACCCCAGGGTTCTAGAGACCTGCTAAGGAGGAGGGTGTCCCCCTTGCCCCCGACACCTCTCAGTGGACAGAGGTCTAGGGAGGCCTAGCTGCCCCACTGGACTGCCAAGTACAAGACTGGTCCCTCTACAGCAGAGGGGTCACAGACCTGGCTTGGTGTCAAGGGTCTTCAGCCTCGAGGGCTTTTTCAACTTGATCTGCTTAGGAAGGTCTCCTGCAAGACACAGTCAGGCTCAGCACCCAACACTCTGGTCATGGCTGCAGAGTTGGCCCTGACCAGGTACGGCTCAGATTGGGCTCAAACACTTCCAAAGATCCTAGGCTGGGTGAAGCTTCAGGGCCCACCACCCAGTCTTCCCCAGCCCCCCTCACCTGATATCTTGGGCTCCCCAATTCGGAGGATATGGGGCCAGTGTTGGAGTGTTTTGATAAAGAAAGGGTTTGTGACTCCCAGGACCACGTTAGGTCTAGAGAGAAAGACAGAGGAGAGAGAGAGAGAAAGGAGAGGCAAAGAGAAGCTGGGCAGGTAGCATGGGCTGGGGGTGGGCAGGGTGGATACACTTACGGGGCCTGGGTTCTTGTGGTAAGCTCCTTAAATTCACTGTCATGGATGGTGAAGTAGGGGCGGAAGTCACAGCAGAACTTGAGGGGCTGCAGGCAGCTGAGGGGTGGGGCAGCAGGGATCAGGTGAGACAGGGTGCCAGCTGTGCCAGGATGGCCAGGGATGGAGGCACATACCTGGTCAGGGCCAGCACCATCTCCGAGGACACATCTGGTGAGGGTGCCAGAACTACCAGGGGCTCCCCAAGAAGCATGAGCTCCCACAACGTCTGCACATGTGTCAGCACGGGCCGGAAGCACCTGTCAGTGGGCAGCTGGGGTCAAGTAGGGCCTGGGGCCTCTAGCGCAGTAAGCACAGGTCTGGCAGGACCCACCCTTGGGTGAACACAGGGCCCTGCTCAGGCAAACACAGGGTGGGGAAGGTGTATGAAGACCTCAGATCAGGACTCAGGTTGCCAGGCCACCCTAGGCTCTGAAAGACCAGCTGGGCTCCATCTGCTTTGGAGGTGGGGTATGCAGACTGGACTTAGCCTGGACCTGGCCTGTATGGGGCCAGCAGTCTTGCAGCATCCCCAAAACCCAGGGAGGGACTCGTCCCAGCCCCTGCTGTCCCTCAAACCTGCAGCTCTGCTCCTCTGGGCCCAGCAGGGGCAGGCTGACCTCAAAGCCCAGGTTCCCTTGACTCGGAGAGGTCGAGGGGGGCCTCGGGTGGCAGATGTCCCTGACAGCCTCACTGGGCACTGCTTCTGGAACCTTCCTGCTGATAGTGCCCACACTTGGGCACAGGCTTCCTCTTCTGCACAATCTCCCCTCACAGGATGTCCCGAGTACCACTCATGACGGGCAGTTCCTCCCCGGGGCAGCTTTTCACAAAAGCAAGCCACACCCTCAGGACTCACCTGAACAGGTCCGGTTCATGGATGCTGGTGAGGACCATGGGGGCTGGTCGCAGGTTCTGAAGGTGGAGGGCAGGCGGTCAGGGCTAAAGACGGAGGCCGACACGGGGCTGTGCTGGGTTTGTCTCCCCACAGGGAGGTGAGGTAGAGCCCCATCCGTCCCTACCTCTTGGTCACCGTGCTTTGGTGGGCTGGGTTCCAGCTTGTCCACTCTGGATGGGATGCACACCTGTGGAGGGGAGCAGCTGCCAGGGGGAGCAGGGTGTCTCCACAGCCCTGCGCACTCACTCGGTGGAGGCCCTCACCTGGATGATGACGCCCATGACAGGTAGATTCAAGGTCTCCCCAGGCACAGGGGCTGGCCACTGGTCAATTTCATTACAAACTGTGAACACAGGTGGTCCAAGTCAGGAGCCCTCCCCGAGGAGAAGCTGTTTGCCCAGGCCTGTGGGGCACATATCAGTCACACCTGACTCCCACTCACCAGCTTCCAGACAGGGCGCCAGCTTGTCAAAGTACTCTGGGGCCATCAGGCTCAGCAGTGACTGGAACAGCCGGACAAAGGGCAGGCGGGACAGCAGAACCAGGGACTGTAGTGATGCAGGGCCCGTCAGAGGGCAGCCAGCTCCAGGTGTCAGGCCAGCTACTCAGGGGCCTGTGGGGACCTTGACATCAGGGTAGCTGGAGCTGGTCCAGGGCAGTGCACCCAGCTGCCCAGAGCGGGATATGGATACTCAGACCCCAAGACCCTCAGGATACAGCAAGGTGGGGCAGGACCCCAACTGTCAGAGGGAAATGTGAGGCAGCTGAGGTTCCTGGGTCCATCTCCCCAGGGTTCACGTGCCTGGGTTCAGGACTGAAGTTGTCCTAATCCTGAAGATGTGACAAGACCAGCAAACAGTGAGGGCCAGGGGTGTCCAGGCCTGGGGAAGAAGGGCCACCGAGGCATGCGGTGTCCTTCCCTAGCCTTGCTGCCTTGGCTGGGCTGCAGAAGGGTGGACACTCCTGGAGCTCAGACTCCCAGTCACCCCAGGCCCCCCCGCCTGCCAAAGTGGCAAGGGCTCACCTTCTGGAAGTAGCCCCTCTTCACAGAGCTGTCCTTCACCTGCCGGAAGTACACGTAGCCAATGTAGTGTGCTGGCTCCCTCTGGAAGGAGTGTGTGTCAGCCATGCCCACTCAGGCCATCTGGCGAGGTCAAGAAATGGGCAGGGACTTCTGGGGGCGGTGACGGTAGGGATGCAGAAGGCTCGGGACCAGGTTTCCCAACCCTCTGGGGCCTGTTCTCAGGAAGGTGGAGACCTTCCAGGGTTAGACCTGGGCTTCCTGGCTCAGAAGGTGAGCAACGCCCCTCCTCCTACACAGCAGGGGACACTGACATGGGGCGGGGCTTCCTCACAAAGCCCTGATGTGAAGAAGGGCTTCGGGGACCTTGGTGAGTCCCCAGAGGGCAGTACAGGCTGGTGCTTGGGCCTGCAGGACTGGCAGGGCTTGCAGCAGTCAGCGACCCCACCAACAGGCCTGGCTGGCACCTCTCCTGCCAAACGGGGCCCAGCAGCTCCGAAGGGGCTGCTCATACTGCCAGGGCATCCCGGGAGGGGAGGGAGCACCCACCACTCACCTGCAGGGTCATGGGGGCCTTGCTGTTATAGGGCTGGTCATCAGCATGCCAGGGGCTCCTGTGCCCTCCGCACTGACGCATGCGGAAACTGAACTGAGTGTCCCCAAGGCAGCCTGAGGAGGGGCAGCAGCGCCCTGCAGGTCAGGGCTAGGAGCCTCCACTGCCGCTGTTGGCTGGGGTGGACACAAGGGGGCAAGGAGCCTGCAAGGCTGACCCCTCCTGGCACAAACATTCCAGGGAGGACCCCAGCCTAAGGGACCGTGTTTCCTAAAGCCTTTCTACCCTGACCCTGCATACCCCAGCAACGGCCTTGCAATAAACTCAGTACACAAGAGAAACACCTTCAACGTCCCTGGGGGGACATAGGCCCAGCCTGCCTGGGACAGGAGACCGGCACTGGACATGGCACAGGCCACCAGAAATAGGAGTAGGGCAGCGAACCCAGCTCCTGGTGGCAAATGGGGAGGGTGCAAGAGAGCAGATTCTGCCGGCACCTTTGCCCAGGCCACCTTTCCATGTGATTCCCGCCGTAGCCTGGTGTTTGCACAGACCAAGGGCAGGTGGGTATGACTTATCCCTGGAGCGGTCTTGATGTCTCTGGCCTGGGTCCCATCACCCCAGCCCCAGAACTAGCATCCAGCCCAGGAAGGGTGGGGTCACCTACCTGAGTGGGAGTCAGGAAATGACAGGTAGCAGATGCTGCTTTTCTGAAACACAGAGCCCAGTGAGGGCCACTCCCTCCTGGGGACACCCACTCCCAAGAGCACCACGACCTACCTCCTTGTCTGTGAGCCGGAAGTCACTTGGGTACACCAGCTGCAGGGGAGGACAGAGCGCTTGGTGTCACCACCTGGCTACGGCACCTGCCCACTGGAGCCGGCCTCTTCCGGCCCTCTCTCTCCAGCATCCCCTCCCTCCCCACACACCATCTTCCCTGGCTCAGGCCCTCTTGGTTCCTTGCAGGCTCCCCGTTGCTCAGGGACCCCTTCTCACCTCCTCCTCCTTCTGCACATGGCCCCAGGCCAAGCCTCCACCAACCGTCCACACAAAGACATTGGAGGCCCCCACCTGGCTCATCCTCCACTCTTTCACCCCTTCCCTTGGCCAGAGGGTCTCAGGCTCAGCCACCCTGTCATGTGTTTGCTCAGATGTCACCTGGGAATGACCCTGCCCCATGATGGCAATTTCTACTAGGCCTTCCCTCCCTGTCCCTGCTTGATCCTCTTCCGGGGCCTGTGGCCCACCTGCATGGCCAGCTGGGTAACCCTCCCCCTGGCCTGGGGAGTGGGCAGTCAGGTGACACCCCAGACACTGAAGCACAGGGTCTGACCAAACAGTCCAGAGGCTGGCTGGAGATCAGCAAGCTCTGCAGGAGGAAGTGGGCCGGGCAAGCACAGCTAAGAGATCCCTGCAAGGTACTAAAAAGGTCCCTTTGAGGCGGGCCCCTGAAGTGTCTCCTGGGCTGACTCCCACAGGGTCTCCTCCTTTCTATCCAGCACCTACACTGAGGAGTCACTGAGGCTGAACCCTCAGAAGCGGGGAGCTGCTGTCCCCGAGATAAACACTGCCCACTCAGGGAACAACACTGCTTGTCCCTGTTTGGCCTCGGCTTGCTGCTATGTCCTATTTTGTTTCTTCAAATGTGTGCTAAGTCTCTTGAAGGAAGGGACTCTGTCCTGGTTACTTCTGCCTCCCAACATTTGGCAGGAAACAGACCCTTCCCAAATACAGCATCTGTGGGCCGGGGATTTAGCTCAGTGGTTCTGCCACCTGCCTTGAAAGCACAAGGTCCTGAGTTTGATCACAAACAAACAAAAAAACCCCAAATACAGCATGTGTGGGAGGTGTGAAAATTCTTCCATGAGGTGGACCAGAATAGGTAGGTGTGTGGTTAATTTTAGAAGTCAATTTGACTGGATTGAGGAATACCTAGGAAACTAGGAAAGTACCACTGCTGGGTATGTCTATGAGAGTGTTACCAGAGACTGGGATTGGGGCTGGTAGGCTGAGTGGGTTAGATCTGCCCTCCGTGTGGAGGCCCAGATAACAAGAACAGCAAAGGAAAGGCAATTTCTTCTATCCATCGCTAGAGCCGGGACATTTTCTCCTTGGACATAAGAACTCCAGGCTCTGGTCTTGGGACTCAGGACATGCTGAGCTGGCTCCTCTACCCCAGCTTCTCAGTCTCAGGTCTTTGGCTTCCCTGGTTCCAAGGCCTTTAGACTCGGACTGAGCCATGCAGCCAGTGTCCCAGGGTCTCTAGCTTGCACACAGCCTGCTCTGGGACCTCTCAGCCTCCAGTCACATGAGCCAATTACTCTAACAAATCTCACCCATCCATCCACCTATCCATCCAGGAGATCGGTTTCTCTGCAGCAGAAGGTACTGAGACCTCAACCTTGGAAGGAAGTGCGGTGAAGGAGCTGCCAAGTATGCCTGCACCGATGGGTCACGAGGGAGGGAGGGAGCCAGGAGCAGGTAGGAAGCTGAGGGGGACTTGCTGGTGGGGCCACATGAACAGGGATGCCTGAAGATAGCTCAGTGAGAAGCAGGGGCCACAAGACACACAGGTTGAACCTGTGTCTGCACTGTGAGGAGGGCGGAGGACAGGTGGGTGCTGGTGGCTGGGGCAGGGTTACCAGAGGTCCTTTCCTGGAAGTCAAAGGAGCCTTTTAGTCTCTAGGCAGGCCCCTCACCTCAGCTCTACATCCATGTCCTGGGGCCTCAAGAGAACACCTGATCAGGGAAACCTGTCTTCATGGCTGGAGCACGCTCTGTGCCAGTGGCCCTGGAGTCCAGGTAAGCCTAGAGCTGAGTGCCGGTCTAGGTCAGGTGGCCCATGCCCAAGTGAGGAGACAATTGCAGAAAATCTCTGGGCAAGGAGGCCCTGCTTATCCCCTCAGCCAGGCTCTGCCCTGCCCAGGGTTCCCACGTGAGCCTTGTCCTTTTCACCTGAGACTGCCTGCACAGGTCACCGCTCGTGTAAGCTGTCCTGTGTAAGACGGAGGTGATGGGCTCTGCCTGGCTCTCTAGGCAGTGGTTCTCAGTGGGGACCAGCAGCCCCTCAGGCCCACAAGGTGAGACTATTCCCCTAAGTCAGTGTCTGCTTCACGCTCATCTCACTGCACACACAACTCCCAGAGGCAACGCCTGTGACCCTGGCAGACTACTGTGGAAGCTGATGTGAGAATCTACTTGGCTTCTATCTGATCAGGTATTAGCCATCTTGTCAAAGCATCAAACAGCCAGGTGGGCTGATGCACACCTATAATCCCAGAACTCTGGAGGCTGAGGCAGGAGGATCACTTTGAGTTCAAAGCCAGCGTAGGCTACATAGTGAGTTCAAGGCCAACCGGAACTACATAGTGAAACCCTGCCCCCCCCCCGCAAAAGCATCAAACTATACTGCTTACTTTTACTTGTTTTTGTTTTAGAAAATGTGTTTTTTCTTATAAATATACACTACATTAATACATAAGGTTTATTTTTCTTAAATGAATATTTTAAAGTGTCCTGTTCTACTTTTAGCACAATAAACATGGACAGATATAACCCCGTGAAAACAAAAGGTTCTCTGGAGTCCTCAATAACTTTAAGGCTAAGATTGCACAGCGTGGGAGCTGCCACCCAGGAAGAGCCCATATGGAGGGGGCTCCTTGGCCTTTCTGGCCACAGGACCTCCCAGATGAGCCAGGATATTAAGCTGGGTTCTCAAGGGCTGAGAGGGCAGAGCCAGGCCCTCTCTTCATCTGACCTGATATTCTATGTGCCGTGGACCATGGGACCATGTCACTTCTCTCCACCTGTGCATGCAGCCTCCAGTGCACCCATCTGCAAGGGACTCCACATGCAGGTGCTGGGGGGCTGAGCACTACAGGTCCAGAACCATTACTGTTTCTAACAGATGGACTCCTGCAGGGCAAGACCCTGGCTGCTGACAGCTGCTCAGTAGACGACAGCCTCTTGCCTTGGCTTACTGTGGTTTCTGAGAGAGAAGTTACCTGAAACAGACAACCTACCCTACCCCTGCTGTGTAGCTGCCTCCTTTCATCCTTTAAGGCTCAGCTGAGCCTGTTTCAGTCTCCTCTAAGCAGCCTGCATCTTCCTTTGGCATCCTGCACAGGACAGTGCCAGGGCTTCTCAACCCTCAGCCAGGCTGAGCTAAGTGAAAGTCCACAGGAGCACACTCTTCCCCCATGATTCTAGGGAAGGGATGACAGACAAGACGCAAACCTGAAGAGGATCATGTGACTGAGACCCAACTCACATATTGCTGCCCAGTGTTTGGCACAGACTCAAGTCACCAGGAGCCTAGGGGTCTCCCCCGACCTCCCAGCCTGTGCAGCCTCAGGAGCCCAGTCATAAACACACACACACACACACACACACACACACACACACACACACACACACACGGCCTCTATCAATGCATGCTTAGAATTAACTCTCTGAATGGATGTTTTAGAAAATTAGACATGAGATCCCTTAAGGAAAGGCCCCATGTACCCGTGTATGTGTGTGTTTATGTTTCAGAGTCTCACTGCGACAGTCCAGGCTGGCCCTGAACTCACTACATAGCCCAGGCTGGCCTCCAGTTTGGGATCTCCTGTCTCAGTCTTCCTCCTGATGGAATCACAGGTGTGCACAATACTTAGCTCCCTTGTGATTTGGGGTTTTTTTGCCAAATCCAGGATTGAACTCAGGACCTTGCTCTTGCTGGGCGGGCATTGGCACCACTGAGCTAAACCTCCAGTCCTCCTTTGTGATTTTATGGGGCTCAATCTGGGCAACAGAAAATGAGCTCTGCAACCTAGGGCAAATCACCTTGCCTCTCAGGCTCCTCCATCAAGTTGTGTCATTTGCAAAAGCACACCTGGTGGCCTAGTGTGCAGTAGGATGAGGTTCCTACAGGGTGCTGAGTACTGTGCTGGGAGCCCAGGGTTCCTGGCCATGAATCAGTTTTCTGCTTAGTCGACTTTGGACTTATGGCTTCTCGGAGTTCATCGGGACCTTAGGAAGCATTTCCCACCCACAGGGAAGGCTGCACTGGGTTTCCTGAGAGTGACTCCTCAGCCTCACCTGGCCCACTGGAGTGATTGGGTGCTCATGGCCCCCTGGACACTCAGAAGTCCCTCCTGATGGTTGGTGGAGACTACTTTCTAGGCACCTCCACCTATGGTGGGCCTCCCTCTGCTGGTCAGCTCCCTGGTCTGTGTCAAGGCTCTACAGAGAGATCATCCTGACTGTGCCTGCAGGAGGCATTTCCATCTATACCTGGAGAAAGGGAGGCTGTCCCTGTGGATGGGATGGGGAAGGGCAGGCAGTGGGAAAACCACATCAAAGGCCCAGTAGCTGGTGACCAGAAACCTAAGGTCGAGAACAGTAGGAGATGCGGGCCAAGGAGGAGCTTACAGGGTCCTGATCTGACTCTAAGTGAAGAGGTGACTGGACTTTTGACAGGAGAGGCAGGAGGGATGGGGGAAGGGGGGCTGGGGAGAGGAGGAGGTGACACTGGTGACTTCAGGAGAAATGGATGAGATCCTTGTTGCATGGACAGCTGTTAGTCTTGCCCTGAGCGTGGGATGTGGAGCTATGAGCTAGGCATCAAAGGTGGAGCAACTGGGGGCAAGACTTTGCCTGGGTGGGAACACAGGCTAGGGTAATGTTACAGGGGATCGCTCTGGATACACAGAGTCAGGCCCTATCTCCCACCTGTCTGGGCAGCACTCCTGGAGCCCTGAGGATGGGGTTCCCTTTCAGGAAGTACCAGGCACGAGGAGGGGGAGGTCACGCCAGGTTCATAGCAGGGAGTTGTGGAAGGGGTCAGAGGTCGTTCCGAGGTACTGCGTGTGCAAAGGGGCGCCCGCGAGGGCCAGAGCGATGCGCGCGGGGTGTGGTGGGGTGGTGGTGAACAGGGGTGGGAGGGACACTGGAGAGGGCGGGGAGGGAGGAGCGGGACAGAGGAGCGGCGGCCCGCCCGCACCTGCTCACCTCCAGCGCCTGGCCCAGCTCCAGGTCGAAGGTAACCACGCACACGCACTCCAGCCAAGCGGAGAAGCGCGCCCAGGGCGGTGCCGAAACCCGAGCCGCGCGGCCGGAGGACTTGGGGCCCGCCGTGCGGAGCCCGTCACCAGTGCACCGAGGCCCCGCGCCCGCCCGCACCTCCATGGCCACGGCTCCTACGGGGTCGCGCGCGTTGCCGGGGAACGCGGGCACTTGCCAGCCAGCCTCGGAGCAGTAGAGTGGCCGCTACGGCCCAGAGCGGCCCCGTGGCAGCCGTGCGCGCCCCCCTGGTGCTGGAGCATCGGCTCCCGCGCGAACCACAGAGAAAGGACCTGCGCAGGCCAGAGCGGCCCGAACCTAAGGGCGGGACTTCTGGGGAGCAGGCACTTCCTGTACCCTCGCCAGGCAGTATGAGGTTGGGGGTCGTCCCTTCAGGCGAGCCCCGCAAGGCCAGCGGCCTGTCCTTGGGTTCCGCCTTGTTGCGGGATTGTGGGCTCGCAGAGGCGTCTAGAAGACTGCCCCACCGTCGAATTTCATCTTTGATCGGTGCCCTTTCCTCGTCCACGATCCCAGCCCCAGGCCCGCGTGAGCGCCGGAGCAGACGACCTCACTCCGCTTTAGGGCGAGTCAGGAAAGAGGAAGCTGCCATCGGTGGCCTTCTGTATCTTGGTGTTTTGTGAAAGCTGGGTTCTGATACTACTCAGGCGCAGTCCAGGCTGCAGTAAGGACCCCCAGAGGCCAAGGCAAGGGAAAAAAAGACTAATCCCTTCCCCGCCATTTATTCGATTCGACCTAGAAGCGATGTACTTAGAGACCTAAAGGGCTCCACCCAGAGAACTGTAGCCCTATGGCCACTTGTGAGCCGCAATATTATAATTACTTTATATCATTGAACTCAAGATGTCCGTATTTTACAACTAAGAAAACTGTTAATGGCCGGGTGTGGTGACTCACGCTTGTAATCCCAAAGGCTGAGGCGGGAGGATTTGTTTGCGTTCAAGGCCACCCTGAGCTACATGGCAAAAGCCTGTCTCAAAACAAAACAGAACTTTTACCAAATACAGGATCGCCCGTTTTTACCCACATGGGGGAGACTGCAGAACAAGTCTCACATTTGCTTTCCCCAGGATAGAAGTTGGGGCTTTTAGGGGCTGAGATTGAGGAAAGGAGATGGGAGGCCAGGAAATAACCTGTGAGTGTGTAGTCAGACTGCATCGTGACCCACCCGTCAGGTGTTGTCTGCCCCTCTGAAAAGGGTGGTAACTCCACCCCCCACATACTGGGGATGGAACTGAAGGCCTTCACCCTGAGCTCCTTCCTCAGACCTTTGCGGAGGGGGTGGGGTGAGAGAGGGTCTCACTATTTAGTTCAGATTGTCCCTGAAGTCACTTTGTAGCCCGGGCTGGCCTCGAACTCTCGGCAATCCTCGTGCCTCAGCCTTCCGAGTGCTGGGACTACAGGCATGCACCACGACATCGGGCTTCCCCAGCCCTTTTAAAGAAAATTTTTGAGTCTTCCTAACTTGCCCATGCTGGGTTCAAACTTGTATTCTTCCTGCCTTAGCCTCCCAAAGTGTGGGGGGTATGTGGATGTGTCACCACACCCAGTTTAAAATCGGTGACTTTTAAAAGTCCACTAAAGGGCCGGGGATTTAGTTCAGTGGTTCTGTCACCTGCTTTGCAAGCGCAAGGACCTGAGTTCAATCCCTGGCACCAAAAAAAAAAAAAAGTCCACTAAAATAAGACCAGGTAGAAAAACAAAAAACAAAACAGGTGAGAGGGCTGGCGATGAAGCTCTGGTAGAGACTTACTGCAAGAGGGAGGCGCTGGGTTAGATCCCAAGCACTGCAGGAAAAAAAAGCCGTTGTGGGTTAAGTTTAGAAAGTTCATTCAGACTTTCCCCTCAGTTTCATCATGAACTGTTAAATGTTCTCAAACATTCTGATACGACAGTGTTCAAGCTCAGTGGGACTGCACCTGCCTCGAAAGCACAAGGTCCTGAGTTCAATCCCTGGTACCCACCCACCCCCAAATATTTTTTTCAAATGTTCAAGCATATAGGAAGGATGAACTATACAGTGGCTATTTTCCTACTATCTAGAATCTACGTCTGTAATTTTTTTTTCTTTTTTGATACAGAGTCTCTATGTAGTTCAGACTGGCCTTGAACTCATTATGTAGCCCAGGCAGGCCTCCAACTCATGGAGATCTTCCTGCCTCAGCCTCCCAAGTGCAGTAATGTTTTGTTAAATCTTTTTCCCATATCTATACATTTATCGAACTCTCTTATTCCACCTTATTTTTATTATTATTTTTTATTTGTTTATTTGGTTTTTGGTACCGGGGTTCAAACTAAGGTCCTTGCACTTTCAAGGCAGGCGGTGGAGCCACTGAGCTAAATCCCTGGCCCTCCACCTTATTTTTATGTATTTTTATTTATTTATTTTTTGGGGGGAGGTACCAGGGATCGAACTTGGGTCCTTGCGCTTATGCAGCAGGTGGTGAAACCACTGAGCTAAATCCCCGGCCCCTCCACCTTATTTTTAGATAAAAAAAATTTCAAAGATAGTTGCAAACATCTGCACACTCATCCCTAAACACTTCAGTATGTGTATTTATCATTACTAGCATTTGTTTTCAAAGTAAAATTTATATAGAGAACTGAGGGTGGTTGTACACGCCTGTAATCCCAGCACTCCGGGAGGCTGAGGCAGGAGGATCATAAATTTGAGCCCAGCCTGGGCAACTTAGTGATTTATCCAGACCCTATCTCAAAATTTGAAAAAATTAAAAAGAGTTGAGGATATAGCTCATTACAAAGGCCCTGGGTTTAATATCCAGAGTCATAAATATGTAGAGATAGATGAATATGCATAATTTTGTTTCCAGACAGAGTCTCAGTATATAATTCCAGCTGGCTTTGAACTCACTGTGTAGTCCAGGCTGGCCTTGAACTCATGGCAGTCCTCCTGCCTTAGCTTCCTGAGTGCTGGAATTACAGGCATGTGCCACTACACCCAGCTGAATAAATCTTAAATGACCACTGTCAGGGCTGGTGGGGTGAAGGGAGGCCTGGTCAGGCAAGCTTCCCAAAGAAAAGAACACATGTAGAGCAGACATCACAAAAAAGCAGGAACCAAATTTTATTTTCCAGCACAGCACTTAACAGTAGTTTTTGTAAGCTTACTAAGACATAGTAAGAGCTGAGTTGAGTCAGGAGGATCACCATGAGTTCAAGTCCAGACTGGGCTATATAGTGAGTTCAGGACCAGCCTGAACTACAAAGCCAGAAAAGACATAGTAAGACAAAACATTGTGGGCAACCTTGTAAGCCATGTGCCACATGAGTGGTTGTCTATGCTGATTCATTATTATATAACCAAGCTCCATATTGCGCCTGTGCTAAACAATGGGATTGTGTCCTCAGGTACCTTCAGATGCTGGGCTTTGACACATCTCACTCTTTCAAGGGGCTGCTGCTTCTTGCAAATGGCACACCAGGCTGCCCCTTGTGCCCAAAGTCCACAAAAGGAATACAAGGAACAACACATAACCACCAACCCCATTGCCATTGCAGCAATGCTGAGAGCCTCTCAGGGCCAGGTGGATCCTAGGGATTCCCACCACTGCGTCCCACCTTGTTGGAAAGCCTGGATGGCGGATACCTCCATGTCCATCTCTTGTAAGGACTCATACTTGTCCCTGGTGGTCAGGAGTAAAAATACAGCATTCTACATGTGGGAGGGCACAAATGCCTCCCTGTGCTGCAGTCACCAAATCCAGAGCCATACAGTTCTGTAACACCACCTTTCTCATTTGGGATGTTTCATCCGTGAACAACATGAGAGACTGGTGCGTGATCTATAGGGCCTGCACCATGTGTTGAGCTAGAGCTTCAACGTGGAGGGCTAGGTCTATAGTTCTGCCCCTGGCACACCAGTACTGACGTAGGGTAAAGCCACCAGGCCACCCGTTTGATGCAGTGTCACCTGTGATATACAGCGTCCCAATTGTGGGGTGTGTCTGTCAGAGTGGGCCTGATAGTGCCCTTCATATAGGAAAACCCCCAGGTGCCGCATCCTGTCAAGTGCGTGGGAAAGTACGGCCAACCTGTAGTGCCACAGACCCATAAGGCAGCCACCATGGGCCAATCAGTCTGCACTGTTCCTATGAGTTTATGGCCATCCCAGCAGACATTCATGTCATTCACCTGTAATGTGTCATTACACAAGTGCAGGAGTATCCATTCCGCTGTGTAATTTCCCACCGATGCACTGACCTGTTCAATACATAGTGGGGCAACATCCAACAATATTACTTGATTCCCCATCACCCACCCCAAACTATTATGCATCATAGATCTTAAATGACCAGTCCTTGTGGAAGGTAGTGCTCTTCTGGATCAGTGCCTCAACAGCCCGGCATCACTGATCCCAGGTGGGTCTGATTCTGGTATCGCCAGCTGGTCCAATTGTGTAGAGACCCCTGCACACTTCTCCACAGAAGGCCTTCAGCCACATCTGTCAGAAATTCAGCGCACATCCAACAGTGCAGTTTCTGGTGCACATGAGCAAACGTGTGCCCAGGAGATGATGCTGATGACTTGACTCATCCTGGTCAGAAGGACAGGGTAGAAATAGAAACCATCATAGGGAGGTCTCATCCTTCATAGAGGAAGGATAGAATGGTGGCCAGTACCATTTTACCACCTGGTTTAAAATGCAAGACCTGTGTGTCCTCGTAGCCACCAGAGGCAAGGGGGTTGGAGACAGGTCTATCACCCCTATGGGAGTAGGCCCAGCAGCCACAATGTCATTTCCCTTTAGAATGGTGGCACTGGGATCAGGTGGGGAGCACACTAAGGCCTTCAGGGACCATGTTGAAATCTAGGGCTGCACCTCTATGGCGTAGCACAGTCTCTCCCCCCAGGGCTCCAAAAGGAACACCCAGCTCCCCAGCAGGGGCTCTATGGGCCATTCCCAAGACTTTTGGTACTGATTCCCCAGCTACATAGGCTCTAGTGAGGGGAGAATCAAAGCCCCTTCTATCACCTTAGGACCTTGCTCTGCCGGTTGAATGCACAGACAAGTTGGCTGTGCTTTCCAAAGGTGATCCAATGGGCTGTCATTTGTATGTCAGGGCTTGTTATTGAGCAATTGAACAGCCTGTAGTAAGGGCTAGACCCACTCAATAAACTTTGGACCCAAACAGGGCTAGTTTTCAAGAGCCCATTATATCTCTCAGTCATACCAACAGTTTGCAGCCTGTAGGGCACATGGAAGTGCCAGGTAATGTCATTGTC